GGGGGGGTTCAGTCTGGAGAAGAGGAGGCTGAGGGGAGACCTCCTGGCCCTCGGCAACTCCCTGCCAGGAGGGGGCAGAGAGGGGGGATGAGTCTCTGGAGCCAAGGCCCCAGCGCCAGGCCCCGAGGGAATGGCCTCAAGCTGCCCAGGGCAGGGTCAGGCTGGCTCTGAGGAAGGATTTCTGTGCAGAAGGGGCTGTTGGGCGTTGGAATGGGCTGCCCAGGGCAGGGGGGAGTCCCCGGGATCCCTGGAGGGGTTGAAGAGTCGGGCTGAGCCAGCGCTGAGGGATCTGGGGGAGTTGGGAACGGTCAGGGGGAGGGTCATGGTGGGGCTGGAGGAGCTTCAGGGGCTTTTCCAGCCTCGGTGATTCTGTGGTTCCACTGGGAGATGTGTTCCGCTGGGGTCACTCAGTTGCACTGCAGGTTGCTGAAGGAAGGGCTGAGCAGGCACCATCAGGGGAGGTGAAGAAGAGGGTGATGGCGCCTTCAGGAACAGCAAGAGGCAGAGCCACACATGGCAAGGAAGGAGAGCTAGTTGGAGTCCCTGGTTAAATGGGTGATGGAGAATGGAAAAGGCAGGAAGCTTTTGGTTTCCAGCAACAGGAGGAAGGTTCGTGCTCCACCTGCAGATTTGCCATCAGAACAGATGTAGAGCCCTGGGAATTTTAAGCAGCTACAGAAAGCCTCACAGGCACAGCCCTTGTGCTTATGGGTGGCTTTAACCACCCTTGTGTCTGCTGGAACAACCTATGGCTGGGCAGAAGCAGCTTAGGAGATTTCTGGAAGAAATGTATTGAAATATTGAAGATAAATTTCTTGATGCAGTTGATTGATGAACTAACTAGGAGAGATGCTCTGCTGGATATGCTACTGACAAACAGGAAAGAACTTGTGGGAGATAGAAAGGTCAAGGTCATCTGTAGCTGCTGCAGTGACCACAAGACTGTGGAGTTGAAGTTTCAGAGAGGCGTGAGTAAGATAGACAAAATTACAATCCCAGACTTCAGAAGAGCAGATTTGGGCTTGTTCGGGGACCTGCTTGGGAAGATAGTGTGGGAAACAGCCTTGGAGGGCAAAGGGGCTCAGGGGAGCTGGATGGTCCTCAAGAACAGTTTTCTCAGAGCACAAGAATGGTTCAGTGCAGAGGTCAAACACAGCAGAAGGCTGGTATGGAGGAACAGGGAGCTCCTGACTGAGCTCAAACAAAAAAAGTATACTGAAGGTGGAAGGAGGAGAAGGACACTTGGGAGGAACATAAAGACTTTATAAACTCCATTCCTAAATGCATGGGCAAAGTTCAGCTGGAGTTGAACCTAGCAAGGGAAGTGAAAGAATAGCAGAAAGTTTTTTCAAGTGCCATCAGCAGCAAAAGGAAAGCTACGAGGGTGTGGGACCATAGTTCATTGGGCAGGCAAGCTGGTCACAAGGAACAGGCAAAATGCTGAGGTACTTGAAGCCTTTTTTTTGCCTCAGGTTTGATAAGACTTGTCGTATGGTCTTCCACATCACTGAGCTTCCTAGCGGAGATGTGGGAATGAAGTAGCACCCACAGCAGAGTAAGACAGAGTTAGGGATGACTTAACCACTGGGATGTAGGTATTTCTGTGGGACCAAAGGGGATGGATCCAGGGGTGCTGAGGAAATGGGCTGATGACATTGCAAGGCTGCTCTCATCTCAGAAAGATCATAGTGATGTGGATGTTCCTGACAACTGGAAAGGGACAGATGTCATACCCATCTTCAAGAATGGCAAGAAAGAAGGGAACCACAGGCTGGTCAGCCTGACTTCACTCCTTGGGAAGGCTATGGAGTAGATCCTTTTAGAAACTATTTCTAAACACATGAAAGACATGAAGGTCATGGGGAGCAGAGAACATTGATATATCAAGGCCAAATCATGGCTGACCAAACTCATTGCTTATTATAATGAGTTCACTACTGGTATTGGACAAGGGGAGACAGTGAATGTTGCATACCTTGACTACTTTAGCAAGACCTCTGAAGTCTCCCATACTCTTCCTATCACCAAATTTATGAGACGTGGGATGGGTAAGTGGACAGTAAAGCAGGTGGAAAATTGACAGGACTGCTGAGCTCAGAATCATGATCAGTAGTACGAAGTTGTGCTGGCAGCCAGCAAATTATTGGTGTCCTTCAAGGATCTGTAGGTAGGAGCAACTCTGAGGGCAGCCTTAGAGAGAGAAACCTACTACAGCCCTCTCCACGTATTATCAAACACTTAGAAAATCCTGGTTTTTTGAATGCTGATTCTTTATTTTAGTGTGGTCATTATTGTCTTTGCTCTTGTGGGTAAAATTAGATAATGATCCTTCATTAATTACTTGGGAGGATGATTGAGTAATGTACAGAAAAAAAATCCAGTCATGAATGCAAAAAATGGACAGGTGTTCCCAATTACTAAGGATGCAAATTTGTCTGTATAGGTACATAGAAACTACATTCCTATTTCTCCAAAAGTGTGTTTTTAAGACAGCTTAACAGAAGTTAGAATTTGCTATTCTGTATGATCTGGTCTAAAAATGATTTTTTTTTTCTCTTTTTCTAAATAGTACTACATTGAAGAGACAATTATTGAGGAGGGTGAACCGGAGGAGGTAAATGTCCCCGTGATGTTGCCTGTGGTGTATATATGAATGTAATTAATGCAGAATGCTAAATTAGTGGCCCTTTGTATTCTGAGGACTAATTTTTCATATTAAATGCATGTCAGTGAACAGTTGCTTTTTACTACTTTATTTTCTCTGCAAGACCCTGTTGCGGGATGACCTGGAGGCTGCCTAGCTTGTTCTGAGTATCCTATCTGCTGCTCTTTGGTTTCCATTAGAAGGAGCCGTGGATGTGTCCATCAGAAAAGGACTGTGCTGATTTCTGTCCTGCCCTGTGTCTTGCTGATAGTCTTCCCTTTGCTCCTGCCCAGCAGCTCTTTGCACAGGAGCTGACAAGAGGAAGCAACAGGTTACGTTAATAACAAGAAACACGGGCAGGAAGATTCCTGCGGTAACATATTGACAAAAATCCACTACTAATGCAAAATCCAATTATTAGCGTTCAAAACGAACAGAAGGAACCTTGTTCTGAAGAGATATGTAAAAAGATTCTGCCTGAAACCAGTTTATCAGTTCTGCTGCCTTCACCTTGTGTAATTTCGCTGAGAAGTGGTGGTTTGCAGATTTTTTTCATGTCACTGGTAACAAATATTTGAGTCACCAAGGACTTAATACTGTAATTCAAAATTATCCTTGTAACATAAGCATAACCCAAACCTCTGTTACATTGCCATGGAATATTCTTTATGGCATAGGCTTATGCAGAAATAAAAGCTTAATGTTTCCCTTTGTGAGTGTGTTTTCTTCCAAACAAAGGATCTGTTCCCCAAGTCTTCCTGTATTTTTAACTTAATAATATATAATTTGATTAATACTGTTTGAACAAGTAATCTTAGGACTATGCTTTTGAAGGAAGACTTCCATCTTATTAGTTTTAAGATTCATTTGTGCACTGCATTCATCAGGTGTTTGAAAGTCTGTACCCAGACTGGATTTAAAGGGAGCTATAGCATGCCTGATTATTTCTGTGTCTGATTTGCATCAGTTTTTGATGTATTGTGAAGAATTACATATGAGTATCAATGTCATCCTAGCTAATGTGATTAGACCTTTTCCCATCATCTGGAAATACAGTCTAATACATTAGTGTCGTGTGGTCCTATGCATTATCATATGAAAATAAAAGCATTGTTTTGCACAAAATGCTGTATTTGCAGAATCAAGCCTCTCCAAGTTTTAGACTATTGCAAATCTATACAAAATATATTTTTATAAAACCATATAGCCTCACTGTTTTTTTATAAAACTAACAGCAGGCAGTGCTGCTTGCTTTGCCTAGACAGGTTTCAAACTCTCCAGTGCTTTCAGTGCCCAAAGTTAGATGAACACTTGTATAGTTGAAATGAGTTGTAAGAGAGAAACTTGTGGCGGTGCTGATGTAACTTGGGACAGCATTTGTGAAATGCAATTAATATTCAGTATTCAGTAAACAAACCTTTTGTGATTTAAGTGCTGTATACTTCTCAATCTAATGTTTATTGCGTGGTGCATTTTCTGGTCCAACTCACACTAATGCAAATAGCTATCAGGAGTATGAGCTTCATGCGCTGCCTTTTAAAGGTGCTTTTTTTTTGAAAGCTAGTTGCTATGAAATAAAGCTTGGCATTTATTCAGATGATTTTAGAGCAAGTTTTTAAGTTGCAATAATTACTTTTAAATGCTTTTAATTAGAATCGTAGTATTATCTTTATTACTTACAGCATGAATATGTTGATAAGCAAGTATATAAACCATTTAAATTAATTAAGGGCTTATTTCTGATGGATGCTTGATCATTGATTATGTAAATATCTCATCTATGTCTCTGCCATGATTGTGATCTGACTGAGAGAAAATGTAGTTTAGTAGAAAAGGTGGATTCTAGGTATTTGTTCACTCAGCTGGTGCATCGTGTAGGTACTACAAGATTGCAAAGGCTTGAGCTTGTCTGTCTGCTGTGTCAGTTCCTTTCTGTTTGCAAGAAGAAGATAATATTTTTAAATGACTATACACACCTTTGACCTGCTTTCACAACTACCAGTGACATCATTAGGAGCCCTGGCTGTACGACATGTGTCTCCAACCCAACTTCAGCACTGAGAACATTTCTACACTTTGGTTGGAGTAGCCAGTGGTCCTACCTGAGAGCTCCCCCAATGCCAGGGGAAGTTATGAATATAGAACAGAAGCACAGGAGCCCCACTCTCCCACCTGCTCTGGAGAATAATGAGATGAGTTTGATACAAAAATCAGCCAGTCAGTGAATTCCTTCTGGGCTTTTTTTAGGTTGATGTATGGTAGGCATACTGGATAATCCCTGTAGGAAAAGTGTCACTGATTTTCTGTCTTGCAGGTGGTTCCTGGATAAGAACTGAGCATCCTTTTACTAGATAGAGGAGGTGAAAAATGCTTATCATAAAATGATGTTTTATAGTTATAAAGTAAGTAATTATGTTTTTTTTCTTTTTTCCCAGGTGATCACTGAGATCACTGAGACCATTAGTACAGAGGTCACGGGTCCTCAGACTACCACCTATACTATTGAGCATGGAAAACCTACTATTGAGCGTGGAAAACCTACTATTGAGCGTGAAAAATCTACTACTGAGCATAAAAAACCTTCTGTTGAGGATGCAGCACCTCCAGTCAGAAAGAGGACAGTACGGACAAAAGTGGACCCATCTAAGTTTTTGACACCTTATCTGCAACACAGTAATAAAATGAAGGACCTATTCAGTGAGGTGAATTATCCCATGTCTTTTATTTCTCGAGGAACACCAACTTTAAAATTATTTATTATTAGTGCAATCCTTTATGCTACTCTTTTGTCTCCAGTGCTTCATTGCATGATGTGTATTAACGATATTTGCCTGAAGTAGGAAGTTTCCTTTTTTGAATTAGCCTCTTTCTTGCCTGTTTCCTGCTTAACTGCATTAGGTAATCATTAGGCACAAAAAGTGGCACAAAAGATCCCTCTTCCTAAGTTTTAATGTATATTACTTACCAGCATTCGCTGTTTGAATGTTATGTGAGGTCACAGGCCTAGGACTGCTACCCTCACCCACCCTTCCTTATCTTTGGTCACTGAAACAAGTAACTGTAAATTTGTCAATATCAAGCTGCTAAGGAGAATATAATCAATTAGAGGTGATCCAAACCAGGCTAAAGGTAGAAATGGATTTTTTCTGTTAAGTCAGTTGGTTAAAAGAAGCATAACTCTGCAAATGTAGTGGAGTAATGCCAGCTTGTATTATTCAATAATCTGCCTAAAATTTTTATACTAACCACACAAATAAATTAATAATTGCTACATACATTTCTGGCAGAGCTTTAGCATATGTCTTAATTCTATTTATCATTATTTTCTTTCAGAACAAGTACAAAGAAAAATTTAGAAAAGAAAAAGGAAAGCCATATGCTTCCACAATTGATACGCCAGAAATGCGGAGAATCAAGAAAGTGCAAGACCAGCTCAGTGAGGTAGGTATCATCATAAGGAAAAATACTTACTGGGCGGTAAAGAAGCAAATTGAGTCACAATTGTAGCTATTGAATAAGAAGCAATAATTTTTTGATAATATCGTGATAAGGCAATCTGAATGTTTAGCAGAAACTATCAGATTACAAAAGTGAGGCATACAGAGTATATGACAACTTGAATTCTGTGTTGTAGCTTGGAATTCAGGCCTTTCAGGAGAGGAGATGTGATGGTTCCTTTCCAGCTGAATAATAGCCCTGTTTCACTGTGCCTAAAGAGGTTTGAAAATTTCCGATGAGAAGTTACAGGCACGGGAGATGGTGGCAATGCCCACGTTTTTGAGTTTGAAGATTCCACACACTGTGTTCTGCAGTCATCATGAATGATGTGCCTGATGATTTTGTTGTTGTTGTTGTTGTTGATGTTAAGTTGTGCACTGGGTAAATAACCCTGGAAGTTTAGTTTTAAGATGTGTTTAAACATTTTTGTTTTCATAAAACAACTGAAAGTCAGTTTCCTGAAGAGAAAATGATGCTTAGCTTCTCCCAAGTGTTGCAAAACGACCTTCTATACATCCTGTCATTTACTATGGGATTTTCCAAGATGTGTGGTCTCCTCTGTGTGAATTCCACTGTTAATGCTCTGCCTTTGAAGGCTGGCCTGAGTGCAGTTGCCCAGCTGATGCAGTGCCTCTAGTTCCAGAAGCTAGCTCATCCTCCTCTCTTTCTTTTAAGCAGCTCTAGTCTACCCTTCAGCAATGCACTTCAGTCTGGGAAACTGAAATCCACCTACAAAGGCTTTTTTATTCTTTGTACAGGAAATAGGGAGAGTTGAGTCCCTAGGAATGGGAACCCCTAAAGCTCTTCTCCTGACTCGGGAGAGTTTGAGGAATGGGATGCTGCAATCCCTGTGCTAATGCTGACAGCTGCAGTCACGCTGGGAGTGGTGTAGCTGCATTAGGATGATTTTGTGCCCAAGCTGCTGGTTTGCTGTGGTAGTGTGGCTGTATTGTTTTTGGCACTGCAGCTAGTCTTTACATGGTAATGGACTGTGAAATGGAGATATACTTCATAGCGTGGGGATCTCTATCTCAACAGACAGGGTGGGAGTACTCCTAGGAAGAACTCTGTGATTACAGAAGGACTCTACCTCTAACTTGGACTCACAGCTCTTGAAACTGTCTCAAAGCTGCGTTTCTTAGTTAATTTGCAAAATGCGCTTGCTTCCACAGGCTTCATTTCTAAGGAGCAACTAGTCCTAAATGCTTTACTGAATTCACGTTTTGGCTGTTTACAGTATTAGGTGTCAAAATATCAATATTCAGCTTTTTTTAAAAAAAAAGTAATTTTTTTTTTCTCTAAGGATAAATGTGTTTTGTTGTGCATTGATCTAGGTTAAATACCGCATGGCTGGTGAAGCTGCTAGAACTGTTTGCCACGTTGATGAAAAGGCCAAGGATATAGAACATGCAAAGAAAGTGTCACAGCAAGTGAGCAAGGTGAGTGAGTTCTGACTTTCTGGAAGGGTTGTGAACGTTAGTGGATCATGTGCTTGCTGATAAGAATGAAGTGTTGAGCTCAGGGCAATGTTTATAGAACAGTTTAGAAGCACAGGGAGAGATAGAAGGGTTGATAAGGGAAGTATAAATATAATCTTAAATGTTTCCAGTTATGTCTTCAAATGTCATTGGTTTGAGACTTTCACTTTAAAAAAGTCTTTAGAGCAGGTAGTTTATTCACAAAAGTAAATAGTTTTCTAATGATAGAGTAACCAACATGCTGATCTTTCTTTCCAGGTATTATATAAACAGAATTGGGAGGAGAGTAAGGACAAGTACTTGCTTCCCCCTGATGCTCCAGAGTTTGTGAATGCAATAAAAAACACAGCAATGTTCAGTAAGGTAAGGAAAAAAAACCCCACAGGTCTGGTCAGCTGAAGTGCAAGAAGCATTCCAAGTCGGAGAGTAATTCATAATGAGTATTCTGACACTTTTCTGTCTTTTTAGAAACTCTATACTGAAGACTGGGAAGGAGACAAAACATTATTCTATCCATACAATGACAGTCCAGAGCTCAGAAGGGTGGCACAGGCTCAAAAGTCTCTGAGTGATGTAAGTATCAAAGCCTGATTGACAGTTAGGTCACTGTTACAGTGTGACTTGGTAGACTTCCTGGTGTACTTTGACTAGACATAAAAATTTCATAATGGAACAGAAAATAGAAATGTGTACGTGTAGAAATGTGCACTGATAGTTAGCTCTGATAGTTACACTATTTCTATAGAAAAATAAGTAATACAGAGGATAAATCTGTTGGCAATTTATGACGGATTATGAATTAATGAAATATGTATTAAAGGTCTTCTGAGGTAATCAGTAAGAAGACCTCATATCTTTCAGAATGGAGAAACTCTCAGGGTTGGCTCTAAGCCCAGTTCACTGTTGTGGGTCTACAAATCTGTCTCAGTGATAAGTGAGGAACTCTTGAGACTCTGTGATTTGCTGATACTTAAATGAACTCTTCAACCCAGGATTTTAGGTCTCACTTGAAGATTTCAGTGAATTTTGCAGATGTCCAGAATTTCACAGTCTGTGTTTATCAGGAGCAACAGAGTAATAGACTTAAAAACTTTCCCAGGGAACTGATTCTTTTTCACTGTCTCTTATCAGGAGACTTCTCAGTAGTCCTCCAGAACACACTGTTTGAAAGAGTTTATGCTGCAGTAGCTGAGGACAGAACTTGGTTAAGGGTGGTGTTAGCAGAGATAAATGTTCTGATGCTTGAATTGGTAGCTACTGTAAATGTTGACTTCTTTCATATTTTCAGATTGTCTACAAAAAAGGGCACGATGAACGAAAATCTAAATTTACTCCTCTGCCAGATCCACCTGATGTGGAACAAGCCAAGAAAGTGACAAGGCAGCTGAGTGATGTGAGTAGAATGAAGTGCTCTTCTTTCTTTAGAAGCCTCGCTTTTGGAGTTAGAGAGGCAAAAAGGTACCTAAAGGGAAAGTAAAAGAAGAGCCCAGACCTTCTATCAAGACCTCTTTGATTTTCAGTGGTGGAAGGCAGTTCCTTTCTTTGAGTGTCTCAGAGAAAATCCTGCCCAGTCTCAGGTTAAAGATGAAAATTTACTCTGTCAGTGAATTTAGTTTTCACAAAACATTTCTGCTTCTGCCATACATGCATTACTTCCTATTCTCCCTCTTTTTTTGTGTGTATTCTGCTTTACTCTTTCTGTGTTTACAGGAGAGAATAGTAAACAACATCCATTTTGCTGTTCTCTTAAATGTAAACAGTGACAGGTAAATAGCTATCTAGTTTTGGAGCCAGTGACTTGCTTAGAAGGAAAATAACCCCATTTTGCTGAAAGTTGCCTGGGCCAGCTGCTCAGAATACATGATAATGTTAATTTTAGTGTCAAACCGTTGTACATGTACATGTTCCAGGATTCTTAAGTTCATGGATAGTGGTCAGTGGAAATGTCTGGCAACTTAGGTAATGGTTTCCTGGTTTGCACACTGAATTAACAAGGAACATTCAACATAAAATTTTATAACTGTATATTGTAATTAACAAAGACTCTAGCACCAGTCCTTGTCAATGCATTTTAGGCATGCTTAGAATAAAACACAGCTGAGGACTGCAGGAGGTGAAGTGAAATATAGGAAGACCAGCTTTTGCTGATGAAACCGGAACTAAGTCGCATAATCTTGTGAGATAAAGTAGGATTTTAACTCAGTCAGAATTTAGCTATTATGATGAGGACACACATTATTTTATTGCTGTATATTGAAAATTACATGATGTTTAAGAATAGGAACTTACTGTTTCACTTATGGTTGCAAAGCCACGAAAAAAATGTTGTGAACCTATTTAGAAGGTGAAAGAAAGTATTATTTAATTTAGAGAAAATTTCTTGAATATTATTCTTCTGTAGCTTAAAAGCTAAATTTAAGGGGACATCAAGACAAATTTTAGACATGTAAAAAGCAAGATTGGTATATGATAATTCTTTGAAATTAAGTAAGCTATATATGTATCTCCAAAACAATAAAATGTAGAATTTTTTTTTAAGGTTGTTTTTGGCAGATATGTCTGTATCAATGTGGAACAATTAAAAAAGCATTGGACAAGTTGTATTTTTTGTGATAAGCACCACAACTGTGGCTGAAAATGCATTTGGAACACAGAGTCGAAACTTGGGAAGATGTTTTATTATTAGACAGGCAGGAACTGTCTAAACAATTTATATTTGATTGCTGTGTGCTTAAATATAGTCTTATAGAAATCACATATACCAGACAATCCGTATATTACAAGGGTTTTCTTGTAACAAGTGTCAGCAGCAATAACAATAAATTCTGGCTTAACCAATGGGCAATACTACGTCCCAATATTATGTGACCAGTGAGAAAATGGAATCAGAAGAATATATTAGTGATGTCTCATAGCAAGGTTTTCTTATTAATAACTGACCTTTAGAACAGATGACTTATTTCACCTCGTTGTCCTTTTTTTTGGTCAGGGAGGTACTAATAGAAATAACAGAATACCGAAGTGGTTAGGCCCGTTATATTTAAGGTATTTTTAACAATAATGGTTAAAGTAGTTATAAGGCAGATGTAAAATATGAAGCAACTTAAAAAGAAGACTTTTAAAAGCAGATCTGTCAAATGAAAATTGAGTTGTATCTTGGGGATTCAATTTTATTTTTTGATTTCATTATAGATTATTTACCACAAGGACTATAAAAACAATATCAAAGGCAAGTGGAGTCAAACTCCATGCTATGATGTTGCAATTGCGAAAATGAATGCAGACAATATAAGTATGGTAAGTGAATTCTTCAGAAAATCTTGAAAGGAACAGCTTTATCTTCTGTTTATGTTAACGTGGAAAATACCGATTAATTTTTCCTGCTCCATTTGTGGTATTTCTCTTTTCCTAAAGAAGCTTCTTCATGGATGTCTGATTATAATTGCATTTGATACACTGTTATCTGTTTGCCTCTGTTCCTAACAGCGAAAATACCAGGAAGACTTTGAAAACATAAAAGACCAAATCTACTTTATGCAGACTGAAACTCCAGAATATGAAGCTAATAAGCGAGTTTCAGATAATGTCAGTAAGGTATGTTACGTGTGCTCCCATTTCTTTAGCTTGAGTATAGTTCTGAAGTCAGGCCAGTTTGTGCTGAAACTGTTTTGTCAAGTGTCAGAAATATTTTCTTGTATGTGAAAGATGTGTTCTTGTGTGCCTTCCACTAGGGAGATTATTACAACTTCTAGCCATGATTATGATCTTCCACAATAGTACCCATGAATTAAAATTTTCTTTCAGTGAAGTAGAATTTGCTTCATTGTTTGTTCTGATTATGTCATGTGCCCGATTTTTACTTGGAACAAATCAATACAGATAACCAAGACCAACTTAAGATGGCCGAATTTGGCTCAGTATTTTCGTATTTATTCATCCTTGCTCAGTGTATCATGCTGATGTGCTGGCCCATCTTTTATTCAAAGTACAGAATTTGTTTGGCTTCAGCATTTTCTGCAATAGTATATGCATCAGCAAAGACAATCTTATGCCAGGAATTGTAAGAATATGACTATTCTGAGATGTCAACTGGTATTTGAAAAATTACAGTGTTCAGAGAGGGGCTTAAAGGTGGGGACATCTACTAAATAGCTCCCACTTTTCTTGCGACCCTGCCTCCCATCTCGTCATCCCTGCACTCCTGTGATCTGAGTGCCTTTCATGGTCCTTTGCCACCATAAGTTAAAAAGAGGAAATTTTCCTGAAAAGTTCTTGTTGGTATAGGTAAGTGACCATCTGGCTTTTAATACTGATTTTTAAAACCTCACTCTTTTTTTTTTTTTACTGTTATTTTTGAAAAGGTAAAATACAGAGCAGACTATGAAAAGAATAAAGCTATTGCAGATTATAATGTGCTTCCTGCTACAGAGAACCCATTGCTGAGGCAATTAAAAGCTGCAGGAAATGTGCTGAGTGATGTAAGTATTATCAAAGTACAGCTGGATGATTTTCGGTTGTGTACAATAAACCAAACTCATAATTGCTTCACAAGGCTTCTCCTTTGGAACTCTCAGTGGTTTTATAGACCCATATTTGTCATGAGATACCACCAATCAGAACGGTACAGAGTCATGTCTCCACAGCAGAGCATAACAATAGCTGTGGCATGTTATGGAGATAGCTAAATATTGTATAGTTCATTTAGGTCCCTGTGGAAAATGGATCACAAGGTGACAGTTCTTACTGTTCTGAGGAAATTCAGCTGATGTCATCAATGATAAAATATGTGTTACTTTCACATATTCATAGATACCATATTCTGGTTCTCACCCCGTAATGGCTTTTTCGATTTCTCTCTTCTTGCTGTTTTGACCTGTATGAAAAGAGACTGCATATTTCTCAGTGACAGAAATTCAAAACCCATTAGTCAGATGTTTCTGTCTTCTCTTACAAACCTAATAGTTACTAAAAATTTTTTTAAAAAAATCATTGTTTTTCAGTTGTCAGGGAAAGCTTTTCTTTGCAATCTTTTCACAGTTTTACTCCTGTCATTTTTAATGTGTTGTGAGTTGCAGTGAAATCTACTGCATTATCTGACATTATTTTCTTTTGCAGAAATTATACAAAGAAGCCTATGAACAGTCAAAAGGAACCAGCATGAATTACTGTGACACACCAAAGTTCCAGACTGATACTGTTCTGAAGAATTTTAGTGACGTATGTGTTTGGTTTATGTTATGTTGTTCAGTACTGACACTCTTGATTACTTTTGTTTATCAACTTGTGATTGTTTTTCCAGGTAAAATATAAAGATGCATATCAAAAGAATATTTTAGGACACTATTTGGGCAGCTTTGAGGACCCGCATCATACTCACTGCATGAAAGTTGAAGCTATGAAGAGTGATGTAAGTGTGGCAATCATTCTGTCTTCACCATCATACCTTCAGTTCAGAGAAAGCTCAATTATGATTTCTTACTGAATGTTGATTTTTTTTCCTAGAAAAATTACAAAGCAGATTACGAGGAGGAAAAGACACAGTGCTACTTCCCTCAGACCATAACTCAAGAGTATGAAGCTATTAAGAAGTTAGAGCAGTGTAAAGATGTAAGTACAAGACAGTAGCGGTCATCGAGTGACCAGCTACACGCAGAGTATCGCTGCTGAGGCACACAGAAATGTACAGAGTGATTCCTGTTAACTCTGATGATTCTGAATTTGGCCTTATTAGCATATGTGAGTTTAAAAAAAAAAAAAGTTAATCTGTATTTTAGGGCCTTTTCTGACATCTAGTGATCAAGACAGATATAGCACCATCTTTTTTAAACAAGTAAACCCATAAAACTAGATGAGTACCAAAATGAAGAATGAATCTCAAGCATTTACCTGCTTAAATTCACATATTTTAACATCAATTCTTTAAAAGTACTTCAGTGACTTTATTAATACTAATTTTATTTAATCAATACTTGGGAAGTACTTTTAAATATATATTTGTATATAATATACTAAAATGTATATACTATAATGTGTATATTATAATGTATGCTATTTATTATATTTATATGCCTACTCATTATTTGACATTCATACTTTAATAATACTTTAAAAATCTAATTGCTGTCTGATTGTTAAAAAGTAGCACAAGAACTGTTGTGCATGACTGCTTATCTGCACTCATGCCATAACTGCTGACTGTCCCAAGTAACTCTACATTGCTATGTCTTATGAAATAGTTTTGTTCGTATGCATTTTATGCAAATATATTTATTATCTTCCCTCAGCACACCTACAAAAAGCATCCCGATCAAACCAAATTTACTCAAGTGACTGACTCTCCAGTACAGAAGCAAGCAGAGATCAATAGCAAACAGCTGAGTGATGTAAGTAAATTTAGAAAACATGTTGCTACACTGATATTACCAGTTTCTGCACCATGGCCACCTCCACTTTATCACCCAGTTGTAAGAGAATCCTGAAATGAATGTGTAGGTGCATGTGTGTGCATGTACACACACACAAGCACAGAAACATTTGTGTGTATTCACAGTTCTGTTCTCGTGGAAGATCACTTGGAAATCAGATTTTATTTTTTTTTTAGTTTTTCAGTTAGCCGTTCATGTAAATTTTTACTGTGTATGTTTGTAATTGTGTTTATGTCCATCATTTTTAACGTGTTCTTTGCAGCAGTTAAGTCAATGGGATTTATACCATTCACTTGGCAAGGACTTGGATTTCATCCTGCCTTGCTTTGTGAGTGAGGTAGCATGGGATCTTTAAGTTGTGTCATTCAGCATTATTAAGCATTTACAATCTATAAACATTGGGCTGCTAAATTTCTTTCTTTATTTTTCTTTGTAGATAAGGTATAAATCCAAAGGTGAAGAAATTATTCACAAGTACCACCTCCCTCCAGATGTGCCACAGTTTATACAGGCTAGAGTTAATGCCTACAATATCAGTGATGTAAGTATATTTTGAATCCAGAGCTCCTGATTATACTTACAATATGAAGTTTTCTGTTAGCTAGAAACTGCTCATTCAAAGTTCACTTTTTCTTCTAGAACTATTACAAAACAGGATTGGAAGAATTGAAATCAAGAGGATATGATCTAAAAAGTGATGCTATTCCTATCCGAGCTGCCAAGGCTGCTAGGCAGGCTGCCAGTGATGTAAGTACATCCCTCCTAAAGGAACTGTTTCATTCAGGAGAGTTTACTCAAACAACGTTTGCAATTATGTTTATTAAGGATGCCTGAAGGATAACTTCTTTACTGCCTATTTTGAGCATGTTATTGGACATATTTAACACAGTTATATTTTTATTGGTGTTTCATTGCTTCACTAATGTATTTGTGTAACTACATTCCAAAAAGGCTGTTTCATGGTGTAATTTGCTATGAATAAACAGGCTGTCTTGTACTCCGCTATGGTTAGGGAGAATCATGAGGTCAGTAGAAACAGCTCCATGAGCAATGGACCCCTGAATTCTCCTTGTCTTTAATTATAGGCCTGTTCATAAATGAGGTGAAAGAATCTAGCACCTCACTGGAGCTTGGGTAGATTCTTGGGAATGGCCTTGCAGAGGTCCCTTAGTATTTTAAGATTCCTCCCCCTCTTATCATCAGTACAAATGAGATAATGCTACTTTGAAAGCTAATTAACTGACTTATGTAGCCATGAATTGTGAAGAGATGCTTGTCTGGTTTTATGTATGGTCAATGACTTAAATGTGCGGGGTACTCTTTGTAGAAGAGGGTAACCTTTGGTTTTAAAATGCTTACTGCAAAGTTACGACACTTAAGATCATATTCTCTGTGTTCTGTTCTAACAGGTTAACTATAAAAAGGCCTATGAACTTGCCAAGGGTAAACTCGTTGGCTTCAAGAGCCTCCAAGATGATCCCAAACTCGTTCATTATATGAAGGTAGCCAAGTTGCAGTCTGAACGAGAGTACAAGAAAGATTATGAGAAAACAAAAACTAGGAACAACATTCCACTGGATATGGTCAACGTTGTCGGTGCCAAGAAGGCTCAAGAGATTGCCAGCAACACTAACTACAAGAACCTCCTACACCACTATACTTATTTACCTGATGCAATGAATGTGGAGCTGACCAAAAATATGATGGAGATTCAGAGTGATGTAAGTAAAACCTCATATGAGCAGAATTTTTTGGAGATGCCTCAAGCAAAAACTGTGAAGGCTCAGGAGAGGTCCCTGGATTGTTTTTTCTAATTCCTAATTTTTAAAACATTGTTTTTACTCCTTTATTAGAATGCATACAAAGCAGATTATAATAACTGGATGAAGGGCATTGGTTGGATTCCCATTGGCTCACTAGAAGTAGAAAAAGCTAAAAAAGCTGGAGATGCCTTGAATGAAAAGAAATATCGTCAGCATCCAGACACCATTAAATTTACAAGTGTGGTGGACTCTCCGGTAATGGTCCAAGCCAAACAGAATTCAGTTCAGCTCAATGAGGTAAGCAGAGAAAGAAATGGGTGTTATAGTAAAGTAGAGATGCACTTACTGAAGAGTTGAGCATTGTCCTTAAAATTTTTCAAAGTACTGTTAGCCTGGAAATGTTGCTCTCTGTTCATCTTTGGTTTGTGCTCTGATTTTTCCCGAGTGATTTCCTGGTATAGGTCTGCAAATCTCTGTGGAAATCACGTGGCTCTTTCAGTTCACATCAGCTGATGCTGTCCATTTATATTTTAAGTCTACTTGAAATACATTCAATTTAAGAAATGTGAAATTTTTAAGTTGTTTGTTGCTGTTTTACCACCTACAATAATGAATGAATAACAGTATGTCTATCATTATACACCAACAAGCTTTGTTTTTTGCTACACTCTCCTACCATCCCTTATTCTCCCACTCTTTCAGAAATGTTTTTTATGTCCATTAAAGGGCTTAATTTTGCTGAGTAAAGACTGCATAGAGGTTATAGGGTGCATTCCTTCCATCAATAAGATCAACAATTCTAGATGAAAAGTAGAACCTCAATCTTTATGAGATAGGTGGCACCGTACATTTATTTGCAAAATCAAACATAAATTCTCAGTTAATTTACAGTGAGCTGGGTCTAGCTATGCAAGAAAAGAAGGATTTATTTCTGTATCGTATGTTTTACAGAAACTATACAAATCTTCTGGAGAGGAAGTTAAACACAAATATACCCTTCCCCCAGATGTCCCACAGTTCCTCCAAGCTAGATACAATGCAGCTAACGTCAGTGATGTAAGTGACTTCTTTCCAACGTGTTTTACACATTGTTAATGATTTTTTGAGTAATATGTTACAGATACACTCATATTTCAGGTTCCTTTCCATGATATGGAGTTCTATATAATCAACTTGTATCACTGTAATTTTTCAGTCTTGGTGTCATTTGAATTTCCAACCAGGCACCTTTTAATCATGTAATCATTTAACTAATTTAATTAATAGATAAATCTGTTCTCATAAATGAAGACTGATATGATCCCCACTGCATCTGCTTCTAAAGAATTTCCTGGGAATAGCTCTGGCTTGCATATATTTCATGTGGTTACTAGTTTCTCTAGAATAACTTGGATTTTCTTTTTCAGGCCTATTATAAACAAGGCTACCATGATCTAATAGCTAAAGGGAACAATGTGTCACTCGATGCTATTCCAATTACTCGAGCCAAGGCTTCAAGAAACATTGCTAGTGATGTAAGTATCCATTCCAGGTATACTTTTCTTAGCTGTTTAGTAAAAAATTTGTCCATTACAGCCATATGGTAGACCTCATATGTTGCACAAGTCTCACTAGGGTCAGCATTATGAGAAAGAGATTCTTACTCTTTCCCAAAGGCCTAGTTGGTGTAGAACTTACTTTATGCTCATCTTATTTGCTTTAGATAGGCAAATGCTATTGCATTATGTTTCTTAACCCACTTTTCACAAGAGAAGTGAAGTCAGTAGTTCTTGCAATGGTTCTGTGACAAATTTTCAGAAAATACACTTAATTGGCACCTATTTACAGACCATGAGACAATATGTGCTCTTGGTTATGCAGTGGAGTATGTCTTATACAGGAATCAGAAGGCTGATAGTGCAAATTGTATACAGTGGGATATGTTTTGGTGCTTTCATAGAACTCGAGGAGGCTGTCCAGTCATATTCCATTTCTTTGCTATTGCTTTCAAATGACTCAGAAGGATTGTCTCAATTACTCTGATATTTTTCATACAGCTTTCCACACAGGGATGCTTAGGAAATGTTTTTCCCTTCCTTACAAGAAAAGCTAATATTGATAAACTTGTTGTGGTGTATGTAACCTGTTAGTACAGGTTTAGATGGTGGAGCAAGAAAAGCTGATGTAGGTATGGTTGCTGGGTGTGCCACTGAGGAGAGTTTATCTTTATGAACTGCTTGAGGCTTCTTTTTCCAATGAAAGTCAGGAGATCTTTTCTTTTGCATTTTGTGGGCATCAACAGGCATGTCTCAGTATATTTGATCTCTTTCTTCTGTTTCTAGTATAAATATAAAGAAGCATATGAAAAGGCTAAAGGAAAACAGGTTGGTTTCAGAAGCCTGCAAGATGACCCTAAGCTTGTCCACTACATGAATGTAGGAAAGATTCAGTCTGAGCGTGAGTACAAGAAAGACTATGAGAAGACCAAGACTAACTATCATACGCCTGCTGACACGTACAGTATCCAGGCTGCTAAACAGGCACAGGATGTAGCTTCTAATGCCCACTACAAAAATCTGATCCATCACTACACTTACCTGCCAGATGCCATGGATGTTGAGCTCGCAAAGAACATGATGCAAATTCAGAGTGATGTAAGTATTTCAACGATTGCAATTTCACGGATGATTTTTGCACACTGTGAAAAAGAAGAGATGAGTTTATATTAGTGAGACTTGCCATTACTGTAAGGGAATGGTCTGTTTTTCTTATGTCTTGGGGAAGACCGTTGCAAGTTTTATCAGCTGGTGGTGGCATTTAGAAATACCAAATTCCAGGTGAGTTCTACTCAGCAGGATTTTGGTGTGGGAATATCAGTGAAGGGCAGGCTTCTGGAATACTGAATGCAAATGAACTTTTTTTTTTTCACATTTCCTCAGAAAACTTTTTTTTTGCAACTAACATAATTTTGTTTCATTCTTTAAAACTTCTTTTGAGTTGTATTGATTTGTCTTCAAATGAAATAGATATGATAGTGTAGTTGGACTATCATTGACTATTTAGGCTGAAGTAGTTGACAAAATGTAACTATAGATATTATTTGAAATACATTCTGGAGATCTCTAACATAGGAGATCTCTCCTAGGACTTCTGGGTCCTTCTTGGAGATTCAGATGGTTGACTGGGCATACAGCGTTTCACTCTGCACCTCTTTGTATACTGCAGAATTGAACTCTCTGTGGATCCCCACGGAAGGAGAAAAAAAAAAAAGAGTGTCCACAATATTCTTGCATTTGGACTATGCATTAGCCCTGTCTGAATGTTTATGTGAGAGAACCTTCTGCAGATTTTGGAGCCAGGATAAATCTTTACTTCCAGTCTGTGAATTCTTTATGTTTTACTGTGGGAGGAACTACAGGAAGAGAAACAAAAATTGAGGCTTTGCTCTGTGGGCCTTTGTATAAGGCCAAGTCTCACAGAGTCTGCTGAAACAGGGAACAAATTAAGCCATGTCAAACAGTCACCATATGGTAGTTTAGAAGTTACTAAGAATTGAAGGTTGGTGAAACTTTTCACATGGGTAAAAGAAAAGGAAGGCTAATAAACACTGAGAAGGGATGTTATCGTTTATCAGAAATGAATCATGAATCAAAAATACAGTAACACATTTTCTTCCTTATGAAATCATAGCGAAGCATAATAAAAATCTGTTGTTCCCTTTGAGAATTAATAAATGTTTCCTGCTAATGTAGAACACACTAGCTGAACTATGTGATTATTATTTTAAGCAAAATTATTACAGTTCTGTGGAAAATCTTAGTCCATATTGTCTTTCTCTCCTTCAGAATGCATACAAAGAAGAGTATAACAGCTGGTTCAAGGGTATTGGATGGAGTCCTCTTGGTTCTCTGGATGTTGAAAAAGCTAAAAAGGCTGGAGATGCATTAAACGAAAAGAAATACCGTCAGCACCCAGACACCATCAAATTCACAAGCATACCAGATTCAATACCAATGGTCTTAGCACAGCACAACACCAAGCAACTGAGTGATGTAAGACATTTTTCATTATTAATGCAATATAGTAATTTTATTTTTTTACCATATTTATGATTTATATGTTACTGTCTGATATTCCATCTAAAAAAAACCCTTTAAATTTTAAAACACCGTAAAAATAGTAAAACTGTAATTTATTGGTAAGAATTAAGCATTGTTGCATTGTTTTTATTTGTTAACGCTAGTATTACCTACCTTGTACTTGTCAACAAGTATTTGTTTCTTTTTCATTGCAGGTAACATATAAGCAAGAGGGTGAAAAAGTAAAACACAAATACACCCTGGATCCTGATGTTCCTCAGTTTATTCAAGCCAGGGTCAACGCCTTCAATTTGAGTGATGTGAGCATATAACCAAGAGTTTGTTCAATAATAGATTTGTTTGTCATTTAGTTAGTAAAAAAAATAACTTTTTTATTCACGCTGATATTAAATATAGAAATGCACAAGCTCTGAATGAAGCTAAACTTTTACTTCTAGAAGTCAGTGAGTTTTGGGCTTGTTAAGCAAATTTTTAAACTGAGCACAAAGACATTTTAGTGCTTTATTGGCAAACTGCTTGGATAGACTGAATGAGAAAACCAGCATGACTTATTATTATTCAGATACCTGTAGGTTTGAAGACCTGTGGCATCTACTTTTATATGAACACATTGCACAGGCAGGCAGTACAAGTTCTCTGTGTGTTGCTGCCTGCTGCTGGGCTTTCAAAGGAAATTAGCTCATCCAGTGGAAAGACAGTAATGCCTTTGTCTGCCACTCAGCTCCTAGTCTGCCTGCTTTCCATCACTTTTTGCATCCATCCAACACCATAAAGATCTCCACTGATAGTATCAATTTTATTGCTATTGTGATATTAAATTTTTTAGTGGCATTATCAGGCTTCCAGGAGCTAGGTAAAAACTGACATCTTTAATAACCTTGATATACTATTTGTCTGTCCACATGCTAACTGCTAACAAAAAATCACCCAGACCACTTTCTTCAGTCACTTAAGACTACAGGGCCTGATTTTGAAGCTAACAGGAAAAAATTTCTGAAGGTTCGGTCAAATGAAAAGAGGTTTTGCTTAAGCAAGGGCAAAAATGCCACTGATAGAGTTGTTCTGCATAAAAATTGCAAAGAATGCTTACAGAGTTAATGATTTAACTGCATGAATTACTGTCTTGAAGGACTCTCCTATCTTTGTAGTAGATTTATTTATCAGAGTGCAGCTGTAGTTTGTGTACAGGTTAACATCTTTCCTTGCAATTGCACAGACTAAACTGAATATTTTGTTTGCTATAACTATAATAAAAATATGGCCTTAAACAACTTCGTTAAAATTGCTACTTGTAGCATTGCAAACTTATACCTTTTTTTCTCTATAAGGCTAACTACAAAGCGGACTGGAAAAAAACCATTGCCAAAGGATATGATCTGAAACCAGATGCCATTCCTATTATTGCTGCTAAAGCTTCTCGAAATATTGCAAGTGATGTAAGTATAATTTACATAAAGTGGAATACATACATCTACTGTGCTACACCTTTCTGTACCATAGTATGCTACAGAGTCTCTATATGTATAATGGTATACAGACACTTAACTCTGAGAATTGAAACTCTTACAATACTGTGGAATAACAAATAAATTCAGAGGTTTACATGAATCTCTGAAAAAACATTTCTTTGGAAATGCATCATGACATGTGTGAGTGCTGGTGAGCTGGGGCTGTTCGATGTACATGCTTCAAGTATTCACCAGCTTATTTGAAAGTTTCTTTGTTATCATTTATCTATGCTGTATTCTTAGTTGCTGGACTTCTACTTGTCTAGCATTCACGAGCTGTACAGAAATAGGGCTCTTCTCAGGCAGCTGGTAAAAAATACAGAAATGTGGCTGTTTTCAGGCAGCAGTAAAGCTTGGTGTGCCATCTGACACAAGCTGTGAAAGGAGATTTGGAACACAGAAATGAATTCACTAACTTCAGCAAAAGACTGCAAATTGCTTCTATTCCCCACTAAAACATGCTTCCCTCCAGTAGCTGATTATTGGGATATCTAATTGTTTGGTAGCCTTGGGCTTATTTTTTTATTAATTTGCTAGTCTTTTAATTAAAAGCTGAATGTTCCTGGGAGTTAGAAGTCTACGGCAGTAAAATATAATGGGGCAGAGCAGTGGTGTGGGAGGGCATGTAACTGCACATCTAGGTTTAGATCTGTACCAGGGGTCAAGACAAGCTGAGAAATCTGGAAATCCTCTTCTTTTTTTGACCTAAATAATCCTGTGCTGTCTGAAAAACAATTTATGAGTTTATAGAATGAACTGCAGTTGTTAAAATACTGAGTTTCAAAGTATTAAAATGATCAGAAGTATGTTTTCTCTTTCCAAAGTGGGGTAAGACTTTCTTTTCCTTTGTCTCTAGTACAAGTACAAGGAATCATATGAGAAAGATAAAGGCAAACAGGTTGGATACCGGAGCCTGCAGGATGATCCTAAACTTGTTCATTACATGAATGTGGCCAAATTACAATCAGATCGTGAATACAGGAAGGATTACGAAGTCACCAAGACCAAATATCACACTCCTCTGGATATGTTCAGCGTGACGGCTGCCAAGAAAGCCCAGGAAGCAGTTACCAATGCTGGCTATAAACAGCTAATTCACGATTATACACTCTTGCCTGATTCTGTGAATCTGGAGCTATCAAGAAATGTGATGCAGATTCAGAGTGATGTATGTCATGATTTATTGGCTCTTTTTTATCTTCTCATAGTGACCGTGTTTACACTATTAACCTTTTAATGCTAAAAAATGAACCATATTGGATTAACTGTAGATTGAGATGTAAATGTCTGGTCTGGAACGCTGTATTTTCCAAAGATTATCAGAATTAGGTGTAGCTGTTAAGTTCTAGGGAACTTGACTAGCAAGTAAAAACTTTCCTTGTGTCTCTACGTATTTGGCTATATACACATGCTGTGAAAGTATGTGGTCTTTTTCCCAGACTCTGATATTCTCCTTGTTACTTCTAACACTGGAGTTCAGGAGCAAGTTTTCTCTTTGCAGGATTTTTGTACTTTATATGTCCTAAAAGCCATGTTATAAAGTATTATATAGGAATGGTGCCTATTCAAGATTGTGCAGAACCAGGCCATTGAGCAGAAGTTGTTGAAACAATTTCTTTGAATTAATTCTACTGCAAACTGAGTCTACTAACAAACAAGAGTGTAATTTTAAATATTTTTGACAGATTTTCATATTTACCACTCAGAAATTTTTTTTTTGAGGTCTGTGGATTTCATCTGTAGTGTGAGTTCTGCACACTGGTTTAGTGAAAATAATTTCTTTATCCCTAACACATAAATAGTTGTTAATGTTATGCTAAGAATTTGGAAAACAACAGCAGTTATAATGGGCTTATCTAAATTTTTCTTCAAAAATGAATGACTGGGGGAAGTTTTAAGGACTTACCTGGTTTTATGTATATAGGCATTCTAATTTTCCTTGTCTCACTGTGTTTTTCCTTGTTTATTTTTAAAAAGAATGTGTACAAAGCTGACTTTAATAACTGGTTGAGAGGAGTTGGCTGGATACCAATCCAGTCACTTGATGTAGAAAAGGCCAAAAAAGCTACAGAGATTCTGAGTGAGAAGAAGTATCGCCAGCATCCCGACAAGCTGAAGTACTCTATTACAATGGATGCAATGGAACAAGTGCTGGCTAAGCAAAACGCCAAGACCATGAATAAGGTGAGAATTGGTTCAGGTGATCGTGACTGAGCCACAGATTGGCTCTTTCTCTTGCAAAATTGTGGGGCAGGTGCATTCCCACTGAAGTCACTAGAATCTTAAATGGGTATGGTGGTTTGCTTGGTTAAGACTAGACACTAGGAGATGATGGAGCCTCAGGCTGTATTTGTAATTAAGGGAGTTTCATTTTATGTTTAAAAAGATTTTTTTGTGTGTGTGTGTGTGTATGTGATTAAAGATATCTTCTCTAGATTTAAAGTGCTTTGGTAACCTTTGCTCTTTTTCTGCAGGAAGTAGCATTCATAGTGACCTGAAAAAAACCCTGAAATTCTGTCAGTTTTGTACAAGTTCCCCTGAAAAGTGGAGTTCTTTAAATTGGTCCCTAGTTATCTGGAACACCACTGATTCTTATTCCATGTTTGCCATGGAAAGAGGGTGTATGGAAAAAAAATAATTATGCTTTGCACTAAAGCAGGGAAGAATGCAGACTGAAAATTTTCAGTTTCAATTTTATTTACTATCAAAACATACTTTTCAAATTTCTCAAATAAAGTACTAAAGAAAGAGAAGAAATATCATACTGCCACATGGCAGTTATGATGATTTGTAGTGCTTTTGGAACTTTACTGTACTGTAAATTATTATTTATTGCAAATGAACAAAACAAAAGCAAGCTTTTATTTTATGAGCGCAGTGCCTTTTCAATGCTAAATATTACTTTGTAATTGCAGAGGCTCTACACGGATAAATGGAACAAGGAGAAGACCAGCATTCATGTTATGCCAGATACTCCAGAAATTCTGCAGTCTAGAGTGAACCAGATCACAATGAGTAATGTGAGTTACCACGCTCACAGGGGCATTCAGGGTCTGTTGCATAGATCAAAAGTTGCTTTAATTTTTATGTTTTTTCTGAAAATATTTAAATTCAGATGTAGGGTACTTCAGTAGTTCTGGCTTCATAATAGAGTACCTGTTCTCTTTTATGTTTTAAATTAGAAACTTTACAAAGCTGGTTGGGAGGAAGACAAGAAGAAAGGTTATGACATGCAGCCGGATGCTATTCCAATAAAAGCAGCCAAAGCCTCCAGAGACATTGCAAGTGATGTAAGTTTGATTGTGTGATAGCACTCAGAGTAGCTACAAAGACAGTCAGAACATTTTCAAAGTGCTCTGTTATGCACAGAGGTGTTTTTCCAAGTGTCTTGCGCTGTTGAGGTTTGTTATATGCTTGATGGGATAAACCTTTGCAATACTTGCTCTCCAGTGGAATAACACTGGACTGAGCTTTTTTTCTCTTTGTTCAGCAAGCTACTGAGCTTCACGTGCCTGAGTTCAGTGGGCTCTTTTGTAAGGCTGGGTGCGTTTAAATGACTAAACCTGAGGTCTTGTGATGGAAAAGGACAAATATTTTCTGTGTTTTCAGGGATAAAACTGAGCTTTATAGTGGATTTTTTTTAATTTAAGTTTTTGCTGTTCTTTCTCTTCCCTTCTGCCAGTATAAATACAAACTAGCCTACGAAAAAGCAAAAGGAAAGCATATTGGGTTCCGTAGCCTTGAAGACGACCCCAAGCTGGTGCACTTCATGCAGGTGGCTAAGATGCAGTCTGATCGTGAATACAAAAAAGATTATGAGAAAGCAAAGACTAATTTCCATACGCCAGTTGATATGGTCAGTGTGGTGGCAGCCAAGAAAGCACAGGAAGTGGCTACAAATGCAAACTACAAAAACTTGATCCATACCTACAATGTTTTGCCTGATGCAATGAGTCTTGAACTAGCCAAAAACATGATGCAGATACAAAGTGATGTAAGTGATGAAGAGGTTCTTCAACCTTTGCATGGCAAATACAATTGATGCTTAGTTTATGAAAGCATACTGTACGATAAATAATGCTGTTTTCTTAGTGAAATTCATTCAGTTTTATACTAAAATGTAGTAAATTAAATGAGACCTTCAGCAATGATAGCCATTGTATTTTTCTAAGACTCTGAAATACTAAGTTATACCTATTGCTAAAGAATTTGGGCTCAGAAATAAGTGATTTTATGTATAAAGTAAAATGGATATTTACTGCTTACATGTCCCATCAGGCTCTTCAGGAGCAATACTTGTGCACAGACAGGAAAAGCTTCCCTTTTCATTAATAGTTTTATCTTGTACTTCTAAAAATGTATCTTTTCAGAAGAGGAAACCAGCTGAGTATCTGTGTTCTCAGATTTTCTGGGATATTTAACCTCTAGAGAAGAGAGCCCTTTTTTCTCAGTATGGTGTTCAAGATAATCTTCTTCTTCAAGAGGGCTTTAGCATGTAACCTCATGTGAGCAATCTATATACATCATAAGGAGGATCTGAACACTGTACTAAAAGGCAGAGTAATAAAATAGACACCACTGTAAAAAAATGTGTTTCTAAATAAACTTGAATGCATCTGAATTATGTTTGCCTCTTTTTAGAATAAATGCGTTCAAAATCTAATATTCATTAAACTCAGAAAGAAGTGTCATGATTTACAGACTTTTTCACACATTAGATTATTTTCTTTTCTTTCTGCTTCCAGAATCAATACAGAGCAGAATATGATGAAAGTATGAAGGGTATTGGATGGATGCCACTGGGCTCCCTGGAAGCTGAGAAGAACAAAAAAGCAATGGAAATTGTTAGTGAAAAGAAGTATCGCCAGCATCCAGACAAGTTAAAGTTTTCTGTTCCTATGGATTCCATGAATATGGTCTTAGCCTTAAATAATGCTAAAATCATGGATGAGGTAAGAAAGTCTTCACTGAAATTTGTTGAAGTTTGCACAAGTAAGAAAAAAAGTATACCTGATGAAGTAGTCAATCCTCTTGTATACGTAGCTTTGGAAATTGTCAATTTTGGCAGCTAATAAATATGCTTGAATGTCATTGTATTTCATCTTACTAGACCTTTGCTATACCTGAAAGCAAAGCATGACCCTAATATGTCTAAGAAATAAATATAAAGGCAGACCTGGGGGTCATATTTTAGTAATGAAGTTTATCCAACATAACTGAGTAGATTTTTAACGGTTTAAATCTAGGGGCTAAAAATACTGGAGTGATCCCTTTCAGAAATAGGATTTACACTTTTAAACGAGTATTCTGTTTCATTTGATGCCTGTTACATTAATATGAAATTGCTACGTGATATGAATGCTTTTATAATGAGAAATTTATTTTCTGATTCTCCTGCTGAACTGATGTAATCTACTGGTGTTCGTCAGTAATGTCCAGACTTCACGTGCATTATAGTTACAGGGACTATCAGAAGCTTATGTGCACTTTCCTTAGCTCCGTTTCCTCTAAGAAAAGCTCTTTTGCCTCTCTCAACTGATACTTATTTTCCAGGAGATAAACTGATGATCTTCCACTTCTAACTATTATTTTACACCTTCTGGCTTGGCTTTTAGTTGTGGGTTAACCTCGGTAAGCATCTAAGCAGCACACAGCCACTCTCTCCCTTCCTCATCTCCCCCACAGTGGGATGAGGGAAGAGGAGAGGAAGAGTAAAACCAAAAAAAATCCCTTGTGGGCCAAGATAAAAAATGTTTAATCAACAAAGGAGAAGTGGAAGAAGAAAGAAAGAAAAAAAAACAAGTGATGTAAAAGCAATCACTTGCCACCTCCCATGAGTAGACTGGTGCCCAGCCATGTTGGGAGCAAAAGATGTCTAACCCCTCTAAACCCCCTCCTCTCCTTTTTTTGTTTTGTTTTGTTTTGTTTTGTTTTGTTTTGTTTTGTTTTGTTTTGTTGTTGTTTGCTGAGCGTGAGGTTATGTGGCTTGGAGTATTTCTTTGGTTAGTTGAGTTCATTTGCCTGGTGATGTCCCTCCCAATCTCTTGCACACCCCGAATCTGTTCACTGTGGGTGCAGAGAAACAGCCTTGACACTGCAAACACTGTTCAGCAACAGCTGAAACAGGAGCATGTCATCAGCATTGTTTTAGTCACAAATCTAAAATGCAGAACTATTCGAGCTGCTGGGAAGAAGATTAACTCCATCCCAGCCAGACTCAGTACATTTTGAAATCTATTACTTGCTGCTGTTCAGTGTGCTTGAATATGCTGCTGGGCAAGAGACAAGCCATGAAATGCTCTGGCACGACTGATATTTCTTCCAGTTTTCTTTCAGCTTCACGCCATTAACTCATAAGAGCTATTCCTGATTCACACCGCTCTTAAGTGCTAAAATAAAAAGACAGATGCTCCTACCATGTTGGTAGTCCCATCATTGTAAAGAATGTTTCTATTTCAAATAGGAAATATTATTTTAAATTGTTTTATTTAATTCTTTGGTTTTGTTGACAGCCCTTTTTTTTTTTTTAATCCTTTCAGCACAAGTACAAACAAGCATGGGAAGAAGACAAAAAGAAAGTTCACATCATGCCAGATATTCCACAGATTGCTTTAGCAAAAGCTAATGCATTTAATTTAAGTGATGTGAGTACTGTTTGTAAGACTCCAGTGTTGCTCCTATTTTTTTTATTAGTAATAAGTGAGATGACAGCATACGAAAGCCTCCCTAATTCTCACTTAGGTAACCTATAGTGATTTCACAAAAAGGTATAAGTTTTCCTTTTCCCTGCTTCCTTCCCCAAAATTAAGTACCAAAAGTTACCATGAAAAAGCCATACTATTTATAGTCAGATTACGAAGTGTTCACATAAGTCATTAAAATATAATACTTATATGGAGTTAGATAACTGTATTTTATTGCTATATAACTATATTGTATTATTATATTATATAACTGTAGTAATGCAACAAAATAGTAGAGTTTGAGTACTATCCATGTTTGTTACTGTATTATTTAATTTCCCCATTCACAAGGGTTTGTACTGGATTCAAAATTCTTTCAAATTGAACCTATTCTTTTGGTAACATGATATTATAGACAGTTTTTCAGTAGCCAGTTGTTAAATCTGCATATGCTAAACAAAGTCTTTTTTGTAATTGTACACATTTTAATGTGCACAGAAATAGACTTATGTATCTAATTTTTTAAGAGCTGACATCCTTACAGATGTAACTTTTCCCCAGTATTTGTGCATTTTCTTGCTCTTTTGTTATAGGCTATTGTTAGTGATTATAGTGCAGTCCAGCTGCACTGATGTGTGAATACTAGAACTGGAGTTGATTTTGAAGGAGTATTCATCTCTCTGTGCCCCTGAGTGCCTTAAACAACTGTTCAAGGCGTGTTAAACATATGAATAGTCTGTGTTTCAAGTTATCATATAAAATTAATAGAGTTTTATTTAAGTGAGTGTAGTGTGTTTTGCTTTCTTAAAGGATATTTTCTTTCTCTTCACAGAAAATGTACAGACTTTCCTTTGAAGAGTCTAGGAGGAAAGGGTATGATCTCAGAGCTGATGCTATCCCTATTAAGGCTGCCAAAGCTTCTAGGGACATTGCTAGTGATGTAAGTTCTTGAAAGAAAAAAACAATCCATTTCAGATATTGTAAAACATTGATATCTGGACACAATTCAATTTTACATGCCAAATACGTGAAGTCTTTTTATTCTCTTGCTTGTAAATAATTCTGACATAATCGATATATATTCTGATACATTTTCTAGCAGGGTTAAAGAACTGTTCCTTCATTAGAAAGGTAAGGAGATATGTGAGGGACTCGGAAGAAAAAAGGCAGTTCATTCCTCAGTGTGGTGGTGCTTGGATACATTTATAAATGTATGTTGTATATTTGTAGTTTAGACAGAGTGTTCAGAGATCATTCTTAGAAATATTTGAAAAAAACAGATATGGACTTAAATTATTTTTACTGCAGTGGTGCAGTTATCTTTATTCCTTTGGTGAAAGTCCCATTAAATATCTTGGTGCAGAGAATACACACTTCTGGAATCGGGACCATTCTGAAACCCTTTGTGTATCAGTGATGAGGGATTTTCTGTGGCATGGGCAAATGCAGCCTGAGAGAGGGGTGAAGTTAGGGCCTAAGGACATGTTATTTAGCCCACCATATTTTTTGACAACACGGAGGATGTTGCAGCCACTGCAAAGTTTGCTCTGCCACTGCTCTCAGGGGAAGATACTTCCATTCTGAGTTCTCTCCCAGCAGTAAGCAGCGAAGGACAAAAGAATTGATACTTGGTCTGTGTAGTTCATTGTCCAGGGTTGATTAGAGATTGAGGAAGGGGTTAAGAATTGGAACTATTGGTTTTATTAAACAAAAACATGGAAAAAATCTTGAGAAGTGTCTTGAATTTTGTAATCATTTGGACAAGTGAACCTAATGGGTATGACAATTAGATATTTGATTTTATGGTTAGTCTTCAGATATGAGCTCAAGTATTCTGAGTATGGTGCAGACTACCATGAAAACAGTTACAGGAGCCAAATATTGGAGGCAGCATAGCAGCAGTAAGAGAGACCTGTGTGGGTTAATTTACCTTGGTTCTAGCATCTGCAACACTTCATCTTAGAGCTAATATGGGTATCTCTAAACTGTAGCGTGAGAAAAATAAAAAGTGCACTTTTCCCAAAGAACTGTCTGCAGCAAACCAGACCTTGTGTGTTCCTTTGCCTTTTGCTTTCCGTCAGTATTTCCATCATGTTTCATATTTTCATTGTGTCATTTGTAATTAAATTAGAAAGTAATCGAACCCCAGGTTACTCCCAAGGAGCAACCCCGGGCTACACTGAACATTATGCAGGAGCTGAATAAACTATTGTAAGACAATTTAATTTATTAAGAAAGTGTTTTAAATATATGGCTTCTAAAAGGGACACTAGACATCTGTTTTGCTTTAGAGTGCACCCTAAGAATAAGTGGACAAAGCCACCACCTCAATATGCCTTGTGATGTTTTTTAACAGTGTAAAAATCTTATTTTTATTGAAGTTTTGGGTTTTTTTCCCTTACAAGATAGATATTGCTTATTAAACAAATGAAGTAGCATTAAAGTCTCTGTCTTTGTTCTCTTTACAGTATAAATACAAATTAGGTTATGAACAAGACAAGGGAAAACTTGTAGGCTTCCGCAGCCTTCAGGATGACCCCAAACTTGTCCATTATATGCAAGTGGCAAAGATGCAGTCTGATCGTGAATACAAGAAAGCTTATGAGATGAGCAAGACACATTACCAGACACCTTCTGATACACTCAGCATCGTGGCAGCTAAGGAGGCCCAGGATCGTGTAACCAATACCAACTACAAACGACTGATTCACCAATATATGCTTCTACCAGACGCAATGAGTTTAGAACTGTACAGAAACATGAATCAGATACAAAGTGACGTAAGTTTTTGTTTTCTTTCCATCAGTCACACCTGTGACTTTTTTTTTTCTTTATGGCTGTGCTTTGGAAACAACAGAATTATTTTGTGGGAGCCATTTGTAAATTGTAAACTTTCCTTTTGTGTTCTGCTTGGCAGAATGAGTACAAGCAGGATTACAATGAGTGGTTCAAGGGTATCGGTTGGAGTCCTGCTGGTTCTCTGGATGTGGAGAAATCTAAGAAAGCCACAGAAATTGCAAGTGATCGGAAATACCGCCAGCATCCCAGCATGTTCCCCTTTACAAAACAGAATGATGCCATGGACATGGTCCTTGCAAAGCAGAATGCAAATATAATGAACAAAGTGAGTATTTGTGGGGAAAATTAGGCACATGTTCACATATCATCCATTTTGATAAACAGTCTATAAGTGTCTGTTACCACCTTGTGTTTCCCTGGGGAAAAAAAAACCTGTCACTTACAGGTTCCTCTTTTTTAGTTTTTTCTTTTTTTTCTTTACAAAACACTCAGTTACTGATAAATAGCATTGGTTAAATAAATATTTCCTGATTTTTCTCATTGCTACTTCTCCAACCTCTATTCCTCTTACTCTTGTATAGAAATTACTGAAAATCTTGATAATTGGATTTCATTAGAAGCAAGAGTGGATCCTAATTCAGCTGATTGTGGATTAGGTCATTTCATGGTAAAATAAATCTAAGTCAGCACCTCCGTGTTTTTAGCCATCTATATCCAAAGTGTGCAAGTGGAAAGGTGAAAACCCTGAAAGAGCCATCCTTTGTCCTTTATATTAACGCATCTGATATTACTTTTTCCAATAGCATGCGTATACTCAAGCTTGGGAGAAGGATAAAACTCAGGTTCACGTGATGCCAGATACACCAGATATTCTACAGGCAAAACAGAACAAGACAAACTACAGTCAGGTAGAGTCTTTTAATACTTCCTATTACATTTAAAATTAATATCTACTTTGTTCAATTTTAAAGGTGCCTCCCATTTCAAAATAAGTACTTAATTTGTGTAAGTTAGAAGAAAGAAATGGAATGAGATATTTAAAACAGAGGCAAAAATTTTTATGTGAGCACTATTTTCAGAGTACCAGTAAGTACCATCTTCAGGCCAGCAAAGTAACAGCCTAAATTACATTATAATGTGTGGAAAATATAAGTCCTATTTTTGAAAACTGGATGTGCATAGTCCCTACTCTATGCTTATCATAGAAATCAATCATGTCAAAAATTCCTTACTATAAAATAACAAGTTCATTGTGTATATTTTTAACTTAACATATGGGAAAAGAAATATGTGTGGTGATTCTAACTTTTCTGTCAGCTTTCAAATATGAGAAAGTGACAATTGTGCCAGTATAAAATACTTAGGTTTAGCTTTGCATGATTGGTCAGAGGCAAATCTTCAACTTGCAAGTGCTGAGACTTAAAATCAACTGTGCACAAACTGAAATGACTATTAAATGGCTACATTACAGCCTTACTAATGTAAATTTTGTTAATTTTCAGTTATCCCAGATGGATACATTTCACATTCCCCAGATATGTTTCAGATCCCCAAGATAAGCTATAGTAGGAAGCTGCTGCAGTAAAGAAAAACTATATAGTCACTAGCCCAAGACATGGAAGACCTACAGTCCTTGCTTATCAGTTTCCCATTTCTCAGTTCCCATTCTAGTAGCCCTTCTCTTGTGACTGAAGCCTGTGAGATAACCCAACTTTGGTAATACGGACCATTAGCATATCTAAATAGAAGGTGACATACATATTACTAAGACTTTTTAATTAATATTGATTTTGATTTTAGAAACTATACAAGCTTGGCTGGGAGGAGATGATAAAGAAAGGCTATGACCTCACGCCTGAAGCCATTTCAGTGAAAGCTGCCAAAGCTTCAAGGGACATTGCAAGTGACGTAAGCAGCATTTCTAATTCAATACACTTTATCTAGTTGCTCTAACCTACAGAGTCACACTAAACTGAGATGCACTTCTCTGCTAAGGTGTGTAAAAAGCAGAACTACTGACAGAACTATTTCCTGATCTGTTGTTGTCAGTGAAGCAAACAGTTTAAGAAGGGTTGGTGTGGCATCTTGACAGTTGCAGAGATTGTGGTCCATCCATGAAGTGGCTAGTCATGCAAAGTTAGGAGCTGTCTGCTCTTTTGGATGTTACATTTTCAGAGCACCAGCAAATTGGGTCCAGTTAGCCTAGTGCCTATACTGAGAAACCCTCCTTACAACTCCAAAGTAGAAGTGGTGACACATGTATTGCTGTTATTAACACTTGATATGAATGCAACTCCTGCATTTATGCAAAAGATTTTATTAATCATTAGGAAATGTTTTCAGTGCTTAAGCATCTGCAATTTTCATTGCTGATTAAGCATGTCAGCCCTTGGGAGTTTTGAACAGTATGACTACATGAATCAGATGGCCCAGGAGACCATTCTTAGAGCTGTGCACTCTTCCTCAGGCATTCACTAGCACCAAACGATGCACATTAATCAAAGGGCTACTAAAACTTTACATGAGATGCCATAACAAGTCGTTCATTTCACTGGCAATGAGAAACGTTGAACTGAGAGACTGTATTGATATTTTGCTGATATATTTTACCCTTGTCTGTTTCTTATTGTAATTTCAATAATGCAATCTTTATCATTTTAGTACAAGTACAAAGAAGGTTACCGCAAGCAGCAGGGACATCACATTGGATTCCGCAGCTTACAGGATGATCCTAAGATGTTGTGGTCTATGCAAGTAGCTAAGATGCAGAGTGAGAGGGAGTACAAGAAAGATTTTGAAAAGTGGAAGACAAAGTTTAATATGCCCGTGGATATGTTAGGCTTCCTTCTGGCTAAGAAATGTCAGGAATTGGTTAGTGATATAGACTACAAACGAATACTACACCGCTGGACTTGTCTGCCAGACCAGGTTGATGTCACCCAGGCAAAGAGGGTCTATGAACTACAGAGTGATGTAAGTTTCCTCTGCATTTATTTATTTTTTTGTGAGATATGTCCTACTTATTGAAAAGGATCTTTAGTAACTCTTTTGATGTCAGTACAGATCAGACTGAAGCTAAATTACCAGTTAGTCTTTTAATGTGGTTTAATAAATGAACAGGGAAGTAATCTACTATGTTTTTGATTTTATTTTTTTTTGTTAACAGAATCTGTATAAGTCAGACCTACAATGGCTCAAAGGCCTTGGATGGAGTCCTCTGGGATCTTTGGAATCTGAAAAGAACAAGAAAGCCTCTGAAATACTGAGTGAAAAGAAATACCGGCAGCACCCAGATACTATTAAATTCACAAGTATCCCAGATGCCATGGATGTCATTTTAGCAAAATCTAATGCCAAAAACAGAAGCGATGTAAGTTGCCTCTAGAGACAGAAAATGTGATTCCATAAATGAATACGTTAGTATACATTTGTTAAAAATATCTCCATGCTTAAAATAGAGAAATATCAGATGTTTATGATCAGTGCCTTACTGCTCTGTACTCAAGTGCTACCTCTTGTTCAGAAGATTAGTCTACAGAGCTGTATAACTCAGTAATAACTGCAAATAAGACCCTTACTATGTAGTATGTAAATGTATGGTCCTGATGCTGTTTCCTTGATATTTCATGGATATAAAGAAGAAAAAAAAAGAGTGGTATTTAAGTGAGAAGTTAGCATATTATTTGATTTTAATATCCTGTGTTGTTTACATCACTCATGCTTGCATAGTACATCTTTGTTTCACTGTTGTTGAGAAAAGGTAAACTGAATTTACTGGTATGCCTGTGAGCCTTTTCTCAGCCAGGGTGTTTTTGTGTCTCTCTTCAGATACTGTACAGAGAAGCTTGGGACAAGGACAAGACTCAGGTTCACATCATGCCTGATACTCCTGAAATCCTTTTGGCTAAATCAAACTTAATTAACACAAGTGATGTAAGTGTGACTCTACAATGTTTCCTTTATGGAATTTGGATTTACCCCTTTTGCCTTTAGTTTAAAAAGCAGGAGAGTAATTCTGCAATTCTAACAGCTGTAAGTGCACCTGTAATCTTTTCCTGTGAAAATTGTGATGCACTGGGAAGCCTGAGTGGAATTGCTAAAATACAAAGTGGAAGTGGAGTTGCTAGAATATAAAAAATGCCAAGAAAATATTCAGCACAAGTTAGCAATTTTCTCTCTCATGCCTGCTGGTCATATTAACATTGTAGATATGTGTTCAGTACTTGATAATAAGCCTGTCATTCTTGTTAAAATGTCTGATTTTATTGAATTGCCTCTTCAGAATAACATAGGATTATGTAATTTACATCTGTTTCCTGGTTGTAATGGAACAAATGTAGGCTACCTGCAAAGGTAAAGAAAGGTTAGCAGCTCTATCATAAGAACTCAAGAAGACAAAAATATTTGGAATTGAAATTGGGTGTTGTATTACCTCTGTAGAAGGCTTTCAGAATCATTCAGATTAATATGTTAAGTAAAAGAAATATCTGATCTCAAATGAGAATCATAAAACATACAGGTAGTAATTTTTAAATAATTTTAGATCATCATTTACGAAATACACAGTATAAAAAACAAGCTATGGATTTTAATTTCATGAATGAAACTGTGTTTCGAATTTAATGCTTTATTTTCAGTATTCAGGAAAGGAAAATTGGAGTATAAAAAAACTCTAGAGATTTTTATTTGCAATAATTATCATGAATCCTTCTCCAACAGAAACACTACAAGTTAGGATATGAAGAGCTGAAGAGGAAAGGCTATGATCTTCCTCCTGATGCTATACCCCTCAAGTCAGCAAAGGCATCCCGAGACATAGCCAGTGAAGTAAGTCTTACAGAGTGAAAAATAATAGTGGGACACAGAGCTGGTACACAACAGGATAAAGATTAACTTTAAAGACTAATTAATTAAATTTTAAGTGGTCTTGTATTGCTGCTCTCTGCAGAGATTGTGTATTTCTTAAAGATGTAAAGTTAATTAAGTTACATACAATAATTTACAATGTGATAGTATATAACTATAAGAAAACCAGTTAATATGTTCTGGACAGGCAATAAAACCACTAAAAATATTGAAAAATTATGGAAACAAATTAAAATACATTAGATTTGAAGATCTTAAATACTATATTAAAAACAGAGAAATCTAAACTGCAGCTGGAAAAAAGGTGATAATTATTGTTTCTGCATTCAATTAGTACCAATACAAAACTGCGTACCGAAAGCAGCTTGGGCACCACATCGGGGCCCGGAACATCGAGGATGATCCAAAGATGATGTGGTCAATGCACGTAGCCAAGATCCAGAGTGACAGGGAGTACAAGAAAGCCTTTGAGAAGACAAAGACACACTTCAGTAGCCCAGTGGACATGCTGGGAATCGTGTTGGCCAAGAAATGTCAGGAGCTGGTCAGCGACATTGATTACCGCCACTATCTGCACCAGTGGATCTGCCTGCCAGACCAGAACGATGTTATCCATGCTAAGAAAGCCTATGATCTGCAGAGTGATGTAATTCATTAAAATTAAATATACTGGGTCTTGTGCAATATAGTTTTTTAAAGATATATAATATGCCTCAGTCACATCGGACATGTTGATAGAGGTGAAATGTTTAATATTCTATCATAAAATTTATGTTTAATCCTATCTTTTCAGTCCTTAGACTGAGGTGTAATTTGTGTGTAACTGTGGAATTCTTCAATATCTCTGTTCTTTTTGTTATTTAATAATTATTTTACTAAAACTTCAGAAGTAACAATTGCATTCAAAACCATATCCTGCTGCTATGCAGAAATATCTAAAATTGTTCATATAGACTAGGCTATACTAATTTATAATTATTTTAATACTTGATCACGCTTGTACTTACATAATGAACTTTCACATTTTTTCAGGCTGTTTACAAATCAGACCTGGAATGGCTG